AAAGGCTCATACGGCGTTTTTCCTTAGCAGGGCAGAGGAAGCCTTCACCGGCCTCTACATCAGCTCTTTGAAAAATATTGAAAAGCACATGTTTTTTTGTGATGTTACAGGGTGGGGATGGTGGGGCGTAAATACCAGTGGTTGATCATGGGCACCTACTCGGTGAACTGGTGGAAGGTGCCGGAAACTAATTGCTCAATAGAAGAACTCGAAGCGGCGCTCGATGGTGTGATTCTCACCGATTTTTTACCTCTCGCAACTAGCGGTGAGATCACCATATCCGGCGTGGTAAGTCCTAATTCTTTTAAAATTAAAAATTTCGTCGCCTCCTGGCCAAAGTATCACAAGCGCTATGCCACGTTTCAAAATTTCCGCTGCCTTTTTTAACAGAGAAATATTGTTAAACAAAGCTGTTTGAAAATTTTACTGGATTTTCTGTGTGCTGCCGATGAAATTCAGTGAAATCCTCGAACAGATTCAGCCGACGATTTCTCTGTACAAAAATAAAATGGCGGCGGAAATTTTTAAACGTCGCATGGCGCTTGAGATGCTTTTGCCGGAAGGTGACGATGTGCGTAGAGACTGCATAATTTTGTGTTTTACTTCCCGTTTTGACCAATTTTTTTTGTTGACTTGTTTCGCTGTGCATGTTTTAGCCGAAACAACTCGTGAATCAATGAATGAAGCTGCTAAGTCTCGTAATCTATAGAAACTGTATCCCGGACGCGACGCATCATTTTTTCCCAGAACCAGCCGGATTTCGTAGATTTGCATTGGGATGGTTTCTCTTCGGTAGTAAACAGTTATCGAGACTTATATCAAATGTTGCTGAAAAATTAGATTATTTTTTGTTATCTAAGCAGAAACTGAGACGAAACAGAGATGAACCACTCCCCGCCTGTCTGTTTTGTAGAAATGTCGTCCGAAAACCTCGTTTAAAAACCCGTTGAAAAACACTACTCCGCAAGTTTTAGTAATTTCGCCAACCACAGTGCGGCCTGTGCAAAACGCATACCAGCGCCTACAGACCTGAAGGAATACTTCAAACAGTGCACCAAACGCGCAATGATTGAAGTATTCCTCTAGGTTTGTAGGCGCTAATATGAGTTCCGCGTCGGTCACACTGTGATTCTCGCTATTATTCAAACTTGCGGAGCGGTATTTTCAACGCATGCTTTTGAAGTACTCGCATTCTGTATGCCATATTGTTTGTCATTTAAAATGATAAAAAATTAAGTAAAATCCAACTGATTTCCTTCTCTGAATTTACATTTTATTAACAATCAAATACAAGTTTGAGATTTTAGACGTATGTCAGTCATAGGAAGCTAAACTACGTTTCTACAGTGTATTGTTTTTTTTTTTTGAGCACTGGAAAAAGAAAACACATTGGATCTAGAGTCCAGACTCATGAAAACATTGACAAGAAAAAAGACTCTTGATTCAATCAGATTTAAGCTTGAATCAAAAGGAAATCCGCTCAAATTAAGAGGCTTGGTTCTTGATTTAAGCTTAAATCTGATTGAATCAAGAGTATTTCTTCTTTTCGATGTTTTTAAGTGTCTGGACTCTAGATCCAATTTGTTTTTTTCCAGTGAGGGGGGGGGAGGTGTCAAAAAATGAAAAGCTAAATTACGTTTAAGCTAAATCGGTTCGCTATATCGGGAGTTGTGACTCGCTTTCGAGATTCACCTCAAGCACCAAGAACGGGCACCTGTTCGGTTTTCGTTGCGCACCGTAACTCATCGATGCCGCGGCTCCCGCCGAGCTTAGCGGTTTAGCACCCCGTTTAATGGCGGCCCTAATGGATCGTTAATAGGTTGAGGAGGTGATCGGCGAGTTCGCGCGCCATCAAGCCTATCGGAAGTTTACTAAACTCGCTCATTATCAGGTTAACGTGAGCTGAGTAACCCCTCAAGTTTCTCGCCCTCTTGTCAGTTGAGCTGCGCGTCCGCAGCACCCGATACTAACTCTGCCGAGCTAAGGAAAAACGCCGTATGAACCCTCGTCAGTTTCCAAATTTCCGTTCATCTAATACAAAGTTTCAGGAAAACTTTTGAATATTTTCCGTTTGATTTTTCAGAGAATTTTCTTTTTAATTGAATCAGTGAGAACGGAAACACACCAGCTCGGAAAAATGAAAGTAATTAAGATGCACACAAAATTGCACCGTAGATGAAGAAGTTTGACCAAGAAAAATATTTTTGGTGCCAAAATATAAGCACTTAAGTACAATTTAAAGGTCCAAGTTGGAACGGATTGACTAACTTCAAAGAGCTTTATAAAGATTGACCGTTTTTAATGGAAATTGAACATTTTCGAGTAACCGAGTTAGTGTTCACGATTTCACTGATTCAATTAGATCTATATTATCTGAAAATCTTAAAAGATATGAAATCTTAACTCTCAAAAAAACATTTTACCGGAGGAAATTTGGCAACTCTCGAATGTTCATATGGCGTTTTTACTTAATACGGCAGAACTCCCTAGGGTTGAATCTGCTAAGAAACACCGTTTAAAAGGATCGTAACCATAGTCGTTCCTTAAACAGCTCCGTGCCTTAGGTTGCCCCACAAGATATACAATAGTACGCTTTAGGGAAGTCAGAGAGATTCTTAATGGTGGTAAAATAGTGCTGGGTCCATAATATTATGCGGGGAAAACAAAGCCGAAAATTTCAACAAATTTCACAAGAGTCCAAAAATTTTGGGCTCTAATGAGTACACTCTCCTCCCGTAGTCTCTTACCGAGAGGGAAAGGTCAGGCAAATGCATTGGAATATTAGGTTGAGGTCACACCAAGAGATCTATAACTTTTTAGGCCAGGCTTTACCAACGACGGGTCGTAACAATTGTAATGATCCATCACTCTGGATAATTTGAACTTGTAGGATGGCTACCTTTTTGGGCCTTAAAAGATCCATGATCTAACTTCAAAATTACCAACATGTCCAGTATCTCCCTGTTAGGCACTGTGCCTTAAAAGGGTCACCTTAAACATAAATTTTAACAGTTTCCTCATGAATTTTCTTTCTAAAATGTACAATGGATCAGTTTACTAGTCATAGAATCGTGTTTTGGTGCTTGATTCTTGTAGATCAGGTAAACATAATAAGATCTGTTCAGGCAGCAACTTCCCACGTTTAATATTAACCGAGATATCGCTCTTTAAAAAATTCGGTTTATGACGTCATCCACCGCGATAGTTACACCCTTGGTTTCTTCCACCTTGCTTTCATCCAAATTCCACGTCGAATAACCAGTGCAAATGTGCGTTACACCAACTGATGACAGCCAGGTGGAAGAAACCAAGGGTATCACAACCGCGGTGGATGACATCAAAAACCCGACTTTTCAAAGGCGATATCTCGGTTAATATTGAACGTAGAAAGTTGCTGTTTGGACAGATCTGCATATTTTTAGCTGATCAACAAGGATCAAGCATCAACTCGTAACTCTGTGACCAGCACAATTGACGATCATCCACCGCGGTTGTGACACCCTTGGTTTCTTCAACCTTGCTTTCATCAGTTGGTGTGACACACATTTGCACTGGTTATTCAACGTGAAATTTGGATGAAAGCAAAATGGAAGAAACCAAGGGTGTCACTACCGCGGTGGATGAAGTCAAAAACCCGACTCTTCAAAGGGCGATATCAGAGTTAATATTGAACGCAGTAAGTTACTATGCGGACGGATCTTATTATTTTTAGCTGATCTACATGAATCAAGCATCAAAACACGATTTTGAGACCAGCGAAACTGACCCATTTGTGCACGGAGAAAAAAACCTCGTGCGTGGGACCCGAAGTTTAGGTCATATGGATCTCTGAAGTTTTCAGATTGAGCATCTGAACACTTAAAGTCTAGCTGTCGAGGTTCGGATCACACATCTGAAACTGCAGTTCTTACATCTGAAGTACTTCGGTTTTCACATCCGAAAAACTTCGGTTCTCACATCTGAAGTATATACTTCAGACGTAAGAACTGAAGTACTTCAGATGTAAGAACGGAAGTACTTCAGATATAAGAACTGAAATTTCAGATGTCTGACCTTAACTTCGGCAGCTAGACCTTAAGTGTTCAGATGCTCAATCCGAAAACTTCAGAGACCCATATGACCTGAACTTCGGGTCCCACGCACGAAGTTTTTTCTCCGTGCGTGTAAACGTTACGAACAGTCGTTCCCATTAGGGTCAAATAATGCAGATAGGCCTATCTCGTTTAAATGCGCCCAATTTCTCCGTGCGTGTAAACGTTACGAACAGTCGTTCCCATTAGGGTCAAATAATGCAGATAGGCCTATCTCGTTTAAATGCGCCCAATGCGACCGTAGTCAAAGCATCTCCGTCCGGAGTCGATAATACCCTCATCATTATTTTCCGCCAGCGCGCAGCGCCCGGGGACCGAAGAGTTATGCGCGGCCGGCGGCGTGTGCGGCGCGGCAATCTCAACGCGCGCCTCCCGCCCCCGTATAGACAACGCCGTTTTGCAGTCTTTAAACGGAAGGAATTTATTGCCGGGTCCGAAAACGTTTCACTTTGAGCTTCGCCTGGGGATGCCGGCCGACGGCGCGGGGTGGCTCCGCGAGGGGGGGGGGGAAACTGCACTGGGCTTAATCAAAGAGCGAGGCGATAAAAAAGCCAACCGGGTACTTTTCACGACTATCAACATAAATTCTTTGCCAACGAGCCCAACATGCCTCCGCGTCGTTGCCGGCATGGCGTGCTTCGCGATGGATCGACTGCGGGCTGATTGTTAAAATTTGTAGACAAAGCGATAGACAAAGAAGACATAAGCAGTGCGGAACGATCCTATTGGTTGAAATAAGTGACAAACTGGAATAAAAACACATTGGATCTAGAGTCCAGACTCTTAAAAACATCGACAAGAAAAAATAGTCTTGATTCAAGCAGAATCTAGCTTAAATCAAGAACCAAACCTCTTAATTTAAGCGGATTTCGTTTTGATTCAAGCAAAAATCCGATTGAATCGAGAGTATTTTTTCTTATTAATGTTTTCAAGAGTCTAGACTCTAGATCCAATGCGTTTTTCCCCCAGTGTATTGGTTGAAATTAGTGACGGTTATAGACTAAGGGAGAGAATGATAGACTAACTAAAGGGTCTCTCTTGGATTGCCGTTAGTTAGTCTATAATCTACCTCCTTAGCACGACAGCCCTGTGGGCTGATTGTTGAAAGTGATAGACAAAGTGATAGAGAAAGAAGACCTAGGGAATATGGAGCGATCCTATTTGTTGAAATGGGTGATTCTTAAAGACTAAGGGGGT